AAGTAATTATAAATTTACTATAAAATATTTTTTCAAGACAGGTTTTTCCAAACGCGACAGCTTTTTCGCATGACTGTATAAGAAAAGATTTATTCTTTTCTTTTTTATTATCGTTCAGTCTATTTGCATAATTCAGTCTTTTTTATTGAAAAGAAATGATCAAAAGTGAAGGAAAAGTCTATTTTGGTTTTATTAATAAAAATATATAATTTATAATAATTTATAATAATTTATAATAAATGAATATATTATCAAGTAACTAATAATAAACTATATTAGTATTCTAGATATCGGATTGAATAGTTCAAACAATGTAATTAATTTATTATTAACTGTAATATATCGATGGGTCTTTTTTCAACTCCTCGAAGCATTGGAATTGTTCTGGCATCTGGTAATCGAATTCCACAGTCTTCACGATTTCCTTTCCAATTAATTTTGGTTCCTTTTCGGTATCCACGAGTTCGGGCATTCCCATTTGAAGACGATACGAATTGATAATATTGAAAATGTGGACATCTGCAAAGCAGTTGTTTGCTTTGTTAGTCTTCACCTTATTGAAAAAGTTGTAGAAGCTATCTTGGAACCTTTCTAACAATTCGACGTTGCTCAAGTTCTTCGCCACTTTCTTGTACATCTTCGATGGGTATTCCACAAAGGACAACACGTCGTTATACTCCATAGCATATCGGAGTGCCAAGAACCCTTCCCCGGTAAACTCGTTTCCATCGAAGTTGAGTGCTATCATCGTCTTGTTGTGCATTAATAATTCCCCCAGTGGTATTGTTGCCGAGTCATTCAGTTCATTATCAGAGATGTCGAGTGCAAGGAGCGTATTATTCCTTTCCATCGCGTACAAGAACCCATTGAATGCGTCGTCAAACTTCTCGCAGATCCCGTCGATCTTTAACGTCTTCAAATTCTTGTGGGTGTCCACAAACGACGTCAAGTCCGTCAAGAACTCCTCCAACTCTTTCCCGCTCATTTGGTTGTCCCCAATATACAACGTTTCCATCTTCTCAAATTTCTCCATGAAGACTAAGATCCTCACCATCGCCTTCCCTTTCAATTTGTTCCCACTCAAATCTAACTTCTTGACGTTCTTAAAGCTTGGAAAGATCTTATACAACTCGATCCCTCCATCAAGCCCAAAGTTGTTATTTTTAAGATCGAGAGAGATCTCAACCAAATGTTCGTTGTTTGCTATTGGTGATAACACAGGGACAATATGATCCGTCGCAAACTTCATCTCACTCATGCAGATCTGTTTCAGACTTTCGTTGTTTTGGAAGTACGAGATGAGTTCCATTGCCTTGTCCAATTTAGTAAATCGGTTGCCCGAGATGTTGAGGAACTTCAGTTGCAAGGGCTTCATGAATGGCATGTATCTATCCAACGGAACTGCCATATTCGCGACATTGAGATATTCAATACTACTTTGAATCGTCGACAACTTCTCTGCAAATAAGACTAACTGCTCGCTCGTATCGTCATTCGTCGAATTGTTACTCACATCCATCGCTTTCAAATGCTTCAATACAGTGTCACTCATCATCATCCCACGTAACATCTCGCCAACTTTCGATATCCCACAATTGCCTAAATCTATCTTGGTCAGTTTGTACACGCGCTTCCCAATGACTAATCCAAGCATCTCCCCCTTCACTATTTGCGTCCCATGGAAGTTCAAGATCTGCACGGGACTCATTTGTAACTCTTCCGAGAATTGGGACACATCCAACTTGGACGAACAGTCGACTACTTCAAGCACTTTAATATATTCATTTCGTCGTAAAAAGAAAGCAAGTGCTTTATCAAGTTCCTTCACTTTGACATTCCTCAATTTGATCTCAGTGAAGCAGTTCGTGTAACTCAACGCATTAAACGCTCTCGCCAACGAGAAGTTGAGCGGGGACTTATCGTCGCAGACACCGGGGACCTTCGAGAAATCAAAAGCGAAGTCTTTGTCGACGGACAGTCGTTGTAAGTAATACATATGGTTAATACTCGGGGTTTCGTTGTAATGGGAACACTCGGAGAGATACGCCTCGACCATAGCGCTTGATGGACTGAGTGTAAATTCTTCATTTGGTTTGGTGATGTTATTAAAGTCAGTAACTTTAAGTAAAGAAACTTCTTGTGTGTTATTTGTGGTGTCGCGGAGAGCTGTTCGAATGGCTCTGACCATCTCTAAAGCACTTTGTTCGTTGAATTCTGCTGTTTTGGTCTTCTTCCCGTTCTTGATTGAAAACGTCAGAACGATTTTGGAGTTTGAAGGGATGGAGATCTCGACGATGTCGAATAAGTGCGACTGATAGACGGGAGCTTTAAATTCCTTGGGATTGAAGAAATAGATCCGATGCTTCGTCACAACAACTAACGCGTCTTTGCCTTTCTTCTTCTCAATCACTTTTAAAACACCTTTCCAACGCACAGAGTCACCAAACTTGGGATATCCCAAATTGGGGTTCGGAGAGTTCTTGTCGTAATACTTTTCAATTTGACTCACATCGTTTCCCATTGTAGTCTTCTTTTAGTTTTTAAAGTTCAGGGATATGGTTTTGTAAGAAGAAAAAGAAGAGATGAGTGGTCTTTGGGTTAAAAATGCCAGTAAAATGGATTTGATTAATAAAAAAAGCCAGTCTGCTCCTGAGACAGGCAATTTGTCCGCTTTTTTTGATGTAAAAAATTGGGATTTTTTAAGATGGTTCTCACTTCTTTTGACAATTTGACAAAAGAGGATAACTCGGATTGTTGTTTTTATTGGTATAATATAGTTGGTTTGTCTAATTATTTATTTTCTTGTTTTTTTTAATGATTTTTATTACTGTTTTTTGTAATTGTACCAATAATGAGGCATTTCGAATAAATTGGTTATCATTTAAAATAATTAATGCCGAGTTCTAAGTCAAAAATGCTTTGTTGTGTGACTAAAAATAATTATTACATACCAATAAGTATAATTAAATTTATTATAATAAATGATTCTTTTTCCAAAAAAAATTACAACACGTATCAACAAAAAATAATACACTCAAGATCTAATTATAATCTTGAAACAAAAAATAGTTTATGTAATTAAAAAAACTATAATTTGAATGTCAAAACCAAAAAAAAACTCAAGGTTTGATTTTTTATTTGTCAGTCCTCTTCTAAAATGTTTTTAAAACCATTTTTATACATTAAAGGATAATTGAAAATTAATATTATAATTATTCTATAAAGAGAAAGGACGGACATGGGGACGAAGGACGGGAATATAGGCCGAAGGACGTCCTTTGTGGTTTAGGGACGTCCTCCCGCTATAAAGGACGTCCTCCTGTGTATATGGTGTCCTTTCTATTATTTTCGTGTCCGCGGCATTTTTAAAACTATATAATGAGTTATAATATTACTATGAATTTACTATTATAAAATATAATTATTTCCAAAAATAAATTTAATCAAAGACAAATTTTAAACAACAAGTAATTTCGTTATAAATTAATGGTTTTTATAAAAAATGCAAATTTAATTAGTTTTTCAAAGAAAACTGAATGGTAAAATGAAAAAAAAATGATAAATTTTTATAAACCATTAATATATAACAAAATTATTTGTTAAATAGTTTTTGTCTTTGAATTAATTTATTTTTGGAAATAATTATATTTTTTGATTGTATATTTATAATAAAAATATACTTCGTTATATAGTTTCGATAAGAATAAAAAATGCCGC